GTCTGCAGTCTTGACACCCAATTCATGAAGGCCGCTAAGGGAGTTAGCACCAGTTACGACGCACTTATCGAGCTTTTTGAGTGTTTCGAACATTACCTTGGTCGTCTCAAAGTCCTCACCGATATCCCCTCTGCTGTGGGAGAAATATTGGTCAAAATAATGGTTCAACTGCTTGAAGTCCTTGCTCTGGCGACGCAGCAAATAAAACAGGGCCGATTCAGTGAGTTCATGCTTGCCTTGCTGATACATCTCACTTAACATAGCATGATGCAGAGAAAATGGCGAAAAAACTACTAGGAGAGAACGATATTGAAGCAGTGTTACAGAGATTGGACCGACTCACTATGGAAGAATCACGGATGACTGCAACACAGACCATGGAGGTCGTCTATGGTCTGTTCAACAACATGAAGGTGGTCATGGACGGTACGGAAGCATTGGTTGACATTTCCTTCAGTGTGCTGAATATTTGTCGCTTCAGATGGAAAGGCATCAATAGATAATATCCGGGAGGCTCTCGGTATGGTACTCAGCTCAGATCTGTAAGTGAGTACAGCTGAATGCAAGTGCCAGTTGCGATGCAAAAGATATCAGATGATTTGAACAAGATGAAATGTTTGTTATTTTGTGCCATCGCTATTAAATGAGGCTGAGACTAAAATTATTTTAGTTGATCAACTGCAAGAAAGGATTCAGAGGTGGCTTTCTCCCCCGGATCCATCAATCAATCATAACACTGCATGTGAAGCCCATCATAATGGGACTGCCGCATGGTTCCTTGAAGGGGTTATCTACAATGAATGGAAGATGACAGGCACTCTGTTATGGACTCACGGGAAACGTACGATTTTCCCTAGTTGCTCCACCCACAATGCTGATGATCTCTGGTTTCGTAGCGGGATCCGGCAAGAGCGTTCTTTGGTGAGTGATACCTCAGCCGACTTGTGTTGACATAGCTTATATTGGTGACCAGTTCTTCGATCATAAAGGACATCGAATCCATACGTGCAACTGGATTGGCCTCAGTCATATATTATTACTTTGATTTCAAGGACACCGGAAAGCAGGATCGTCGCGGACTTCTATCCTCTCTTCTCACTCAGCTTTGCTCTCGTTCCCATCATTGTTACGACATTCTATCGAGGCTGTATGAGGTACACGGTAATGGGTTGCGACAACCCAGCGAGGTTGACCTGATCCGATGCCTCCAAAATGTTCTCGCAATCCCTGGCCATGGCAGAGTGTACATCATAGTGGATGCCGTGGATGAAAGTCCCAATAAGCCTGGAATACCCTCTCCACGTGAAAAGGTCTTGCAGCTCGTGAAGGAACTTATCGATTTGGATCATCCAGACATACGTCTCTGTATCACGAGTCGCCCCGAGGCAGACATTCGAACGGTCCTGGAGCCTTTGGCATCTCACGCTGTGTCTCTCCACGATGAGAGGGGCCAAAGGAGGGACATTATCAACTACATCGAATCGGTTGTTGACTTAGATGTGAACATGGGGCGGAGGTGGAGGGCGGAGGACAGGCAACTAATCATCAGTTCGCTGTCAAAAAATGCTAATGGGATGTAAGGCATCACTATTGAGATTTTGCACCTTGGTCGCTTACAACGTGACGCAGGTTCAGGTGGGTAGTCTGTCAATTGGATAGACTGCGGCGCTGTTTTCCGGCAAGCATTCGACGTGTTCTGAATGAATTACCGAGGACCTTGGACGAAACATATGAACGAATATTGCTCGAAATCGACGAGGAGAAGCAGGAGTACGCCGTTCGTCTTTTCCGGTGCCTGGCATTCTCTCGTTGGCCGCTGCGTACCAAAGAACTTGCAGAAGTTCTTGCAATTCAGCTTGACACAGCGATTCCAAGGTTGAACACTAGTTTGCGCCCGAGGGATGCACATGAAGCCGTGCTGTCTGCATGTTCTACTTTAGTGACCACTATCGGGCACAATGACGTTGACTACGATCACGACTACGACTACTACTACGATCACGACTCCCAAATTGTTCAATTTTCCCACTACTCGGTAAAGGAGTTCTTGACCTCAGAACGCCTCGCCAAGTCAGACAAAGGGGGCCTTTCCCACTACTACATCTCTCCGGAGCCTGCCCACACAATCCTTGCACAGTCTTGCATCAGCACCCTACTCCAACCAGATATTCACAACGCAGACATCGTCGACAGCTTTCCCCTTGCCAATTATGCCGCTCATAGCTGGTTCCACCATGCTCAGTGTGATGGTGTGGCGTCCCAGATACAGGACGGGATGGAGCGCCTCTTTGACCCAGACAGAAAACATTTTGCGGTGTGGATCTCAATACATGATATAGACAGTCGCCGGTCTTGGGGATCACGGACGAAACCATCCCCGCTTTATTATGCAGCTCTTTGTGGTATTGGAAGCCTCGTGGAGCACCTCATTATCACACGTCGACAGGATCCGAATGGAAGTCGTGGCAGTCAGGGCACCCCATTACATGTAGCAGTAGTCTCGGGACACACCGCGGTTGCACGAGTTCTATTGGAACACACTGCGGACGTGAATGCCCGGGACATGAACATTATGACTCCACTTCATGCAGCTATAAGAAGTGGAAATCTCGACATCGCGCAATTGCTGCTCAGCCACGGTGCAGATGTAAATTGCCTCGACAACCAGGGAGACGCTCTATTGCACAACGCAGTACAATCCCGAAAACTGGACGTTATGGAATTCCTATTCAAGGGTCGTGCGGACGTGAATGTCCGGAACAGGTACAACTCGACCCCACTTCATGAAGCCGCAGGAAGCGGAAGTCTCGACATCGTACAATTGCTGCTCAGCCATGGTACAGATGTAAATTGCCTCGACAACCAAGGAGACTCGCCACTGCACAAGGCATTACGATTTTGCAAATTCGACATTGTAGAACTTCTGGTCAAAGGCGGAGCGGACGTGAATGCCCGGAACATCCACGACGCGACTCCGCTTCATGAAGCCGCAGGAAGCGGAAGTCTCGACATCGTACAATTGCTGCTCAGCCATGGTACAGATGTAAATTGCCTCGACAACCGGGGAGACTCGCCACTGCACAAGGCATTACGATTTTGCAAATTCGACATTGTAGAACTTCTGGTCAAAGGCGGTGCGGACGTGAATACCCGGAACATCTACGACGCGACTCCGCTTCATGAAGCTGCAGGAAGTGGTAATCTCGACATCGTACGATTGCTGCTCAGCCTTGGTACAGATGTAAATACCCTTGACCACCGGGGCGACTCCGCGTTACACGAGGCATTACGATTTCGGAGATTCGACGTTGTGGAACTTCTGGTCAAGAGCGGTGCGGACGTGAATGTCCGGAACATTCACGACACGACACCTCTTCATAAAGCCGCAGAAAGTGGAAAACTCGACGTCGTACGACTACTGCTCAGCCATGGTGCAGATGTAAATCCCCTTGACTGCCGGAGAGACTCTCCATTACATGAAGCATTACGATTTTGGAAATTCGAAGTTGTGGAAATTCTGGTCAAGGGCGGTGCAGACGTGAATGTCCGGAGCACGCACGACTCGACCCCACTTCATGAAGCTGCAGGCAGTGGAAATATCGACACCATGAAAATTCTGCTCGGCCATGGTGCAGATGTAAATGCCCTCGACTACTTCGGAGACTCTCCTCTGCACAAGGCATTACAGTCTCCAGTCAACACCGCTACGAATGTAAGCACCTGGGACGACCAACACTTCATGTTTCCGCTCCGTGCATCGCAACAAGGATACTATGCGACGGCGCAGCTCTTACTTGGACATGGTGCGGATGTGAATGCACGGGGACGGCGCCGCAAGACACCGTTACACCTGTCATCGCTGAGGGGATCCCTCGACGTGTCACGGTTGTTAATTGAGCATGGAGCGGATATCGATGTCCAAGATGACGAAGGTCAGACTCCATTTTCAATAGCATTGGCAAATGGGCACCGCAAGCTCGCGCTGTTCCTGTCAAATGACCGTGTCCCGGAGCATGATGCGTAGTGCTTGTGGTGCGTTAAAATGTGAAAGGTATGTGTCAACTGTCTGCTTTGTATGTGTAGCCCTGATATCATCCATGACAGCGAAAGCCAGAGTTTATTTCGTCGTCGGGCAGTGTAGTTAGACAAACGTTGCGTCGGTTGCCGTAGATGTTGATGCTATGGCATGACTAGGAGTTGTACTCTAAACACTGTTTGAGCGTGAGGGTGAGCAAATTTCGGCCCACGCCGGTAAGTATGAAGCCGCATGTTGGCACTTGATGTTGCGGGACGCCTCGGGGCTTGCTTTGTGCAAGTTCGCAGGGGTTTGATAAGCTTGGAACCATCAAGCGACACAGTAGCGACACTCGTAAATCTCATACCACCGTGACACACTGGGGTCCCGTCTGAGCTACACTGAAAACGGGACCTCCGAACTATACGACCATACGACTATACGAGATATAGCTGAGTCAAAATCGTCTCTCCGTTCATAGATGGTTGTACAGCATGATGTGATCCGCGCATGGGTTCTCAGAGTTTTGAAGTGTTGCATCCATACAGCCTGGGCATAATATTTGACGATCGGTTGTCTTGGCGGATTACTCTCCCTCTCACTGGCAGAGACTAATGGGGTAGTACAACCTGCATAAAGGACCTCAAGACGGCGTCTATGTGAGAAGAGCTCTTCCGTGGCTGATAACGATAAAAGCAGGGTAGTGACGGGCAAACTCAACGCTAACCGTGGCGCAGTGACGAAAGCACAGCACAGAAGCACGGGTTCGAGATCGGGCATCACGACGCTCCAGAAGAGAACAGACGATGCCACACATATCATGCTATGCGTACTTCATCCAAGTCGACGGCAGTGCAGATGGGGGAATCAGAAGATCACCCGAAACGAACCAGGGTGTTTGTTAAAGATGGCTGTTACTGTGCTACTAGTCGCTTAACCTTGACGCCCATAAGCTGATATATGTCAACCAACAGGTACCATGCAGCCTTCGATAGCTCAGTTGGAAGAGCGTGGGACTGTAATTTGCAACCTAGCCTCAGCGCTATCCCGAGGTCGCTGGTTCGAACCCGGCTCGAAGGATTTTTTTTCTTTTGTCCCGCTGATCCCGATGATTATTAACGATCCCCGATCCGATTGATTCCACCCAACTGCTACAATGTAGGTTCTGCAACAGCAGGTCGAATCATTACACGCCTGATTTTTTGCTACTCTCCAAGGAGACAACACCCGCGGCTCTCAAAGCCCGATCCAGCTGCTCCTGCCGCCGGGATTGTGTAGCGTTGTCTGTCCAATCTTGACGACCCCAGTTTCTACTTTAGAGCCCTCCCCAACTCGCTTCGTCACTTCCTTCGAGAGTTGGTCTCCAGAGACAAAGAAGGGATTGTCCATCGCGTCGATCAGTGGACTGGGCGGGACAAACGGCGTCGATGTCGCCGTCGTAAAGGACCCGTGTCCATCGACCCTGGGTAGAGGCCCCACTTTCGGCGTCTCTGCCGGCGGTCGTAGCACCGGCAGAAACGATTCCGCATACCATTCGTACCACACTTGGCGTTGGTCAGTCAGACGCCATATGGAGACTTGAAGTTCGGAGTTGCTCGGCAAGTACAACGGTTCCTGTGTGTGAACATGCTTTAGACCTTAGACGCGGGCGTGGAGGGGGGGAAAGGAGATGGGGAAAGGAAGGCACGGTGGTGGTGGTGGTGCATGTGTTTTACCTTTAGGGGGAAGAACAGCGGGAACCAACTCAGCATGTCCTTAGAAATATGTTCCTTCCGGTTCGGATGTATGCTGAGCCCGATTTCTCCGTACAACACGGCCTCGAAGTAGCCTGCTAGCCCATGGAGAACTCCCGCGTGCGGAATATGGAAGGTGAGCGTCGCAGACCGAATGTTATGGCTGTTCGTCACTGGTAATCCTGTGTGTGAAAACACGAACAATTGGTCAGGGCACGCACGACCGCGGAACCCGGGACGACCTGCCTCGTTCGTCGAGCACCACGTCACGCCGTGGGTGCTCAAACTCCCAGCATTCCTGTATTTGTGTGCCGCAACGGCCACCATCATCGGCCCCCTGACCGCTGAGAATATTTACCGCCTGAAACATCACGACGTATGGCGTCTCCGATGCCTTGTCGTCCTTTCCCGCGTGGACCTCGTTATAAAGTTTGGAAGATGACAACGGCGCCAGGTAGGCCGTGTACGATGATGGTATTGAAATTCCATTTGCTATAAGAGGCGCCGTGAAAAACTGGGGCAGCGGAAAGAATCGGAAGAGGGGGCACCTACGTTTTAAGAAACGCATTGCGCCGTCGAGACATTCGGGACTGAGCTCATTGTCTCCAAAAGAGCCCAACAATTCACTGACAACAATGTCCGCAGATTCCGGAAGTGCGAGAGACCGCATGTCGCCAAACAAGAGGCCGACCTTCTCCTTCCATTCGGAAGCCTTCCGCTGCTGCAGACTAAGATGGGGGTGTCACGGGTCCAGGAGATAGGATGGATTGGGCAATGTCCACGGTAAAACTTACGTTACATAGGCGCTTGGATTCTTCTCTATCGCGTATACAAATGCGTTGCGCTTGACGCGCGCGATGGCGCTTAGACATCGTGCGACGAGAGGGCCCCTTCCAGCTCCCGCCACGCAGATGACTCTAGAGCGGTGCCGACATATTACACGTGTGCGATGACTCGACGCCAGTATACTCACATCCTTTCTGATGCAGGCCAATCTAGTAGAGCCGCGTGCACGGCCTAGGCACGTAATTGTACGTTAATTAATGATGCTGAATCAAGGCGCCAAGTCGTACCTCTTCATAGCTTTGATACTTCACAGGATCTTGTTCGAACGTCTGATAAGTGATCCCCTGCAAGTTGTCCATAAGGGGCTATGAATGGAAGGGGTCAGTACACCATGATCCACGTGACGTCGTCGGCCCAGACCTGGAGAGGTGCCTGTAGATAATCCTGATATCCCCGTGCGAAATTCTCCACCGTGCCTGCCGTCTTGGCCTGCACCAACGCAGGGCTTGTTTTATCTAGGTGGCGTACGTATTGCACATACGCGGCCTCACCCCCTTTTACGTGTAGGCCAGCGTTAGTCTCAGACAGGATGACCACTGGGCGGTGCTGAACGTGGCAGGGGTAAGAACAGAGCTCAGGAAGACGCTCAGAGTGGAGTTTGATACAGTCTGACCTTCATCACGTCGCGAATGAAGGACTGCGAACCCTTGGGCAGCACAGGGTACCCCTTCGTATTTGCAATGAATGACGATGCTGGGATAAATAGGTGTCTGATAGGCTCCGCAACCCAGCGATTCAAGACGCCCGGTACTGACGGCAGAGGTGGCGTGAGGTCCAAGGCTAGACAGCGAAGCATGGTCAGGCACAATCCTGGACGCCGACCACACCAAAGCAAGCACTTAAGGTTAAGCGCGGATTGTAAGCACAGATGGACCTTATGGCATCCCACATCTCCCATGTGGCGTTCAGCTCAGCCTCCGATGCTTTTGTCGACGGTACGGGCCTGGATCCCGGTGAGCGAATCGGTGTCGATGGCGAGGAAGAAGATGAGAACGAAGAGGGCATTTTGCTACGCGGAGCGCCAGAGGCGGAGCGCGCGGGGGAGGCTGCCTGGAAGATGGCAGGGTCATAGATAGGCAGTCGGATGGAAAATTGCATGTAAGGGGTCCGCGCGAGGCAGGTGTTGACGGCGCGCCCATAGGCCGCAATCTGACTGCGATTACGAGGCGGTGGGAATATCGCAGTTTGTACGTCCAAGTATGACGCGTAGGATAGCTCCTGTTGCAGGGCCTGGTAAAGGGACATTCAGCCATGTGGTGGGCTCCAGATGTTGTGGGAACCCCCCCGGTTATTGAGGAACCGGAGATGACGACAATAAACTCACAATCTCGGAGTCGTGTCTGACCCAGCTATCGGCTGCATCCAGCTCTAGCCAGTCTGAAACCATCGCGATGACGCCTTCTGCTTCCTCTGATGCATGGACTCCCATCAGCAGATGACGCAACGCAGCACTCTCGTGAAAAAGTACGCACCGAGACGCGTCATGGTCACCTCACCAAGCTCGAATGCGGGGTTTGCTCTCCAAGTTTCCGCGCGAAGCTCGGAGCCTTCAGCCCTCCGAGTCTCGCCGTCAGGTTCTGATGATATGATGCACATGCCTCTCCATCTCTCCATCCACTTTGCTGTGGTGAGCGGAATGCAAACCGCATCGTAGGTCCTAGATCTGGCATCATCGATGAAGTGGGTGTCTCTAGAGTCCCGTTGTGAGTGGTTTTCGAGATCGCTCGATGAGAGAAAGGCCGCAACGGGTACGGGACATTCCCATGAAGTCATAGTTTATACGGCCGTGCGATGGTCTTGGAAGAAGAAAAAACGACGGATTTGGCCACAATCGTGCAGGATCTAGATTCCACCGTCGTCCCAGATCGGCTGATCAGGGAACAGCTATCTTCCGGTTGGAGTCTAGTGAAGAAGGTCGAGGTTTAGCACAGCGAGCTACTGATTATGTCATCTTGTATGCGCTGCTTCTTTGGCCTTACGTACAGAGAAAAGTCTTCTCTCGTCTGCGAAGCGATCTGATCTGAACCCCATTTTGCTTGCCACTGATATCTCTGCGGATGTATCATTCAAATGTCTCGACGTGCCTGAGACGTCTCGTCACTGTTCGATCGGCCCACCCCGCAATTCCCGAGCCCGTGTAACTCTCATGAATTACACCTCTATGTAAAACACATGTCGGTTCTCAAGAAAAAAAAAGGTCTGGAGAAACTACACAATTTCGTATAACTGATGGGGAAATATATCACGGCTGGCCATCCGTCTGGTCCGAATGCCTGTGTATTGTCGGATCGGCGCCTCCGTTGGTCATTGTGTATCCGGTGATCAAGGTTTCCAACACAGCACGACCGACAGCCTGCCTGAGCTCCTCGTCCCTGTGGCCTTCATCTCCTTCTGGTTCGTTTTGGGCGATGTCCCTTAGCTGACTCATGAGCGAAGAAGTAAGGCGTTCTGATGTTGCTTCTTGTGAGTGCTGTGAAAGGAGCTGACTTGAAACGCGATTCTCAGAGTCGGCGAGAGGCGTAGCGGTGATAGAATTTAAATAGTTCGCCACTTGTGGAAATTCCTGTTCCAGCGAAGCGGCCGGCTATCACAGTCTCAGGAGGGGAGTGTGGATGACGAGGGCTTCGCATACCGTCAGCCCTTCGTGATTTTGCCACATTGGGTCTGCGCCGTTGTCAACGAGAAGGCGAGCGGTTTCTATATCTTCTACCGTATAGAGAGGGGTATCACCGTCTTCATCGGAGACGTTGACGTTTCCACCTGTAACAGTAGTATGATTAGCTGAAACGAGCTGCCACCGAGGTTCGTACCTTTGGAAATAAGGTATGTCAAGATATCCAAGTGACCGTAAGATGCGGCGGCATGCCTTTGGGAAACGACATGAATACGACACATAGGACCGGATCGAAAGCGCACATGGGGGTGTACGTGAATGAATCCGGTACGTTAGGAGATATGGCTGAGTGAGGGAATATCCATGGAATTAGCGGAGTTGAGGATTGGCATTGAAAAACTTGCATTCGTGCTCAACTAACTCCTACAATAATCCGTTCGGTTTGATGGGTATCGCAACTAGAATTGAACAGGCTACTGACCCTCACTCGAGCAAAGTCACCATCGCCAGCAGCAACCCATATATTCTTATCGACCGATGTTGGGACAGGCATGATTCGGAGTAGAGACGTGATAATCGGGTAATGGATTGGGATATTTGGCCCTATTTTGAAAATTTGAACGATATGATGGTCGTTTAGGGTCTAGTCCAACTGTGTCAAAGTTTCATTCAGGTGGGAGATGAATGAGTGTACTGTCTGTGGGCGTTAGTGACACTGTGGGAAAGATCAACCCATGGACCGCGGGAGCAGTAGACCCGAGACCTGGACTTGTACGGTGAGAGTTTGAGTTGATTGAGAAGCCAGGAAGGGGTGCAGATCGGGAATCGGATCTTGGTACCGATCATGAAGAATCAATCATGTGACGGTTTCCCGGGGGGCGTCACCC